GTTGGAGGTTCTATTAAAGTAGCAGGAAAATACCCATTTAAGTGCACGGCAAATTGGAGCAGAAACTGATATATGGAGAACTTCTGTCCAATTATTCACAAGCATAGGTACATACCATCCATATCACCTGTGCTTGCATCAAGGCCTTAGTCCTCAGCTCGAATGAAGTTTAGTAGAATAATGCTAAATAAAGTGAGTGAAGATGCTACTTTCCTGGATTAGGTTTTTTTTAGCGGTGAGGCAACTTTTAAGAACATAGGTGTTGTCAACAGGCATAGCATGCACTATTATGCGACGAAAAACCCTTACAGGGTGAGGCAAATAGATTTCCAAAATAAATGGAACTTGAATGTTTGGGGAGGAGCTATTGGCAGACAAGTTATCGGACCTTTCGTTTTTGACAACAGATTAACAGATACAAAATACTGCATCAATCAACCTGCAAACTCGGATGCATATGTACTTCCAACATGACAGCACACCTGCGCATTATCATAATCATGTGCGTAACTATTTGGACACCTGGAGAGACAGTCGTTAGATCAGTCGTGATGGGCCTATATCTTGGCCTCCTAGATCACCAGATATGACACTGATCGACTTCTTTCTATGCGGCTACGTTGAGCAAGAGTTTTATAGATATCCGCCATCTACCGGGAAAATATGAAGGAAAGGATTAAGGATGCTTTTCTGGACATATGGGAACACATTCTGAGGGATGCGCAGCGGCCATTTATCCAAAGACTATGGCAGTGTATTCAACATGGTGGAGATATTTTCGAGCGATTTTTGTAGATTAGGTCTTGAGTAGTCATAGTTGTTTGTTTATGTTGTTGTTATTGTTGTTTTTCTCTATTACGCTTGAAGTTACATACTGTTCTGATTGTTATTAGTTTTTACGTGAAATCTGTACTCTTAATGGCAATATGAAACTAGCCCACTGTTTGTCTTTTGTTTCCATGGATGATGTGATTTTTTTTCTTAATTTTGGTGTGTTGTTCCATTAAAAGCTTAATATCTCAAAATCTAGTGATTCTATCTGAATCAAATCCTATACCAAAAAAAAGCTTATGAGAATTTGAATCCAAACTTGCATAAATATACAGGATGATGCATTTGACATTTTTTAAAGAAAGTACAATTCGCGTTTTTGACCACCCTATATGAGCAAAAATGAAAATTCGGTAAAGTCTTCTTTTGAATTGGTTTATCTAAATACGCAATAAAAAATCACAACTTTGATATGTAGATCAAAATTGGGACACCCTGTATAATTGCCAATATTTTAGAAATGTGCCCTCAAATGTTATGTATAACATGCAATAAATAGATTTTCCCAAAATGAATTTTTTATGGGTAATATTCCGTCCACACATGGATGGGCCAACCTGTATAAGCCCACGGTATAAGCAAATAGTAATTATACCAAGAGAAGGTAGTTAGACAAGACGAATAAGTTAGAGAGAGATAAGAGACGTAACTCAAAATATGGTGTCTACAGAACAACTGATGACGTCCAAACTTCTGCTGTTCTTATTTGGTTAGAATTGGATGCGGTATTGCCAAATAGATGATAAATTTATTTGATCATCACCGTTTGTAATAGCAATTTTGGTTCAAATTTCCTTTTGTTTGTAGACTTATTCATGGCCGGGACATTAATCATTAGTTTGCAGCCTAAGAAATATATCTTCCGTTCAGTAAAGCTATAATTACACTTTTCTCGAGTGATCTCCGCGACATGTAAACAGAAATTATTCTGTAAGTTATCACATAGCTATTTAAATTTTAATGTCCCCCGCGGAACATTACACGATTTGGTTTTGTAACGAAAGATGAATGTTAGCTTGGTTGCCAGTTATCTAGATAACCTGACCTTTACTTATTTCGAATGACTTTTTGTCGTCACCACCAAAAACCGTGAAAACGACTGGACTCCATTCCGCTCAGTATAAATGTAGCGTTTTCTAAACGCTTTATGTCAGTTCGGCAACACTGCCTGGATAGTACACAGTCACTTATGAGCGCAACGCGCGGATCCTTGACGGAATATCGTCTGTGAGCGAATCGCCTAACCAAGGACAGTTCACTGTTGTTTTTTTGTAATCCATTAATGGTCCAAGAGCCGACAGAAAAGTTTTGGTTACATCGCGTTATGTTAAAGGTAGTCAAGGTGCTGCTCAACAATCTTGCCGAATTGGACATGTGTTTATCATATCACGTCAGCACGTGACAACAAAAAATTGGCTTTGGCATCGTAATTCAATGACGGGTTTCTGTTACGATTCTGATAAACATCTTAACCTGTTGGAAATGGTGAAGTACATTAATTGCTTTCCAACGTATGAGGAGCGGATCTCAGATGACGTACACAAAGCAGAGTGCTTCGGGTTCCGCTGTTCAAAGGGGTCCCAGAACGTGGTTCATGAGTCCCCAGAAAAGATAAAATTTGTATGTCTCAACACCATGATCCTACAGCAAACCCTCCCCCCCTTCCCATTCTTCTACTATCCAGTGGCCCCATGCGAACTTTTTTACTTCGGGCTCACTAAATTCGTCACTGTTACTTATTTTTTAAATTGGTCATATTAGCAAACTGAAATCCGAGGCAATTGAATTTAGCGTAAAAGTTATAATTGGAAGTTTTAAAATGGCTGGTGGGCACCATCTTGCAACATTTTTTAAAATGGAATGCAAGGTCGCGTGATACCTTATTTTGAGGATCCTTATAAATAATATAAAAATGATCGTTTTTATACAGTGAATCGTTTAAAGCTCAACACCCATCATATGTAGAAACATTACATGTTATAAAAATCTTTTCTTGTAATATGTAACATTCCATTTAAAAAAAAGTCAAAATCTTTCAGTTTCAGAGTTATACAGTACTCATAAGAATCTTTAAAATATTGTATCACGCGACCCGTTGTTCCATTTAAAAAATGTTACAAGACGGCGTTCAGCCACTATTTTGGAATTTCCAACTATTATCTTTACTCTAAGTATAGTATTCATGCGACAATTTCATCTTCCCTATTTCCAGCTTGACCCATTCGATAAATAAGTACGGGGCAGTCCTTTGTGAAGAGCACTATATGTGGCGTCTCACAGTCAACGTAAGATAGATCTCTATTTCGTAAAAAACCTGAAAAAATGTTTAAGCAATACGTACAGCTACTAAACGAGCTCACAAGTGTACAACAGCTTGTGCTAAGTGAACATCTTATAGAAAAACCTAAGGAGTGTCAAAAAAAACCGACGAAATGTCACTTTGCAAGATACGTAATACCCGTGCCGATGGTGAAGCACTTTTATCCTTTAAGCTGAAGGAAAGAACATATATCAATGATGATTTAACTAAAACTGAACGAGACATACAAAAGAAAATAAGAGACAAAGCAAACGAGGAAAGAAGGAAGGGTAAACGCACTAAATTGGGCTATCAAAAACTAATAGTGGATAATGAAGTGTGGAAATGGAATACAGAAACAAGCGAATTAGAGAAAATGGAAAGGAAATTCTCAAAAAACTAAGCAAAAACAGGAAAATGAAGACGAAACAGGCTACGGCAACGGAAACGAATAAGGAATATATAAACATAAAAAATGAAGATTGCAGGATGGCATACATGTCATTGGCAACCTGGAATATAAGAAGCTAGTTAGTGGATTTGAAAAATCAAAAATAGAAATTCTGGTAATTACAGAAACAAAGAAAAAGGGAAATGTGATTGAAAATCTAGGCAACGGGCATATCTTAATATACAGTGGCGTAGATACAAATGAAAGAGCTTCTGTGTGGATTCGAGTGGGACGTATTATACACAGAAATAAGAGGAATTTCAAACATAGGTGGGAGGCAATATCAGAAGGAATACTAGTAATTGAAGTAAGAGAAGGTGTAAATCTAGATACTATCATTGGGATTTACGGACCTGATGGAAACGAGAAGAAAGAAAGAAAAGATTCATTTTGGGAACTCCTATCAAAGGTAGTAGAATCAGCGAAAGGGAAGTTATTCATAATTGCCGATTTTAATGGTCGTGTTGGTAAAAGAGATGATTTATTTAGTGATTTCATTGGAAATCATGGTGAAATAATGTGAAACAATAACGGTATGAGACTTCTGGACAAATATTTAACTTAGTTGTGACAAATACTTTCTTTCAACATATAGACATTCATAAATACACGAGAGTAGAACCCAGTAGAGGTGAAAGATCAATATTTGATTATATTTTGGTTGAAAAAAGTAATTTGCCCAAAATACGAGACGTTAGGGTAAGAGGAGGACCTGAAATAAACAGTAATCATATGGCAATTGGAAAAATAAAATGTCAGGAAAAATGTGAAACTAACAAGAAGTGCACTGAGAAAGAAAAGATATTTGAAAATATTCGGACATGCAAGTTGAGAGTACGAGAATATGCTAAGAGGTATAGAGAGACTTTAAATTTATCGATGAAATCGGTGGAAAAGGAGATAAACGGAATGGGAATAGAAACATTGTGGGATATGGTGCTAATGTCAGTGAAATAGGTTTGCGGTACATACAGAGAAAAAGTGAAAACTATGGTGATAGACAGTAAAAAGAAAGTATGGAGTGATTTTGGATATAAAGTGAAACTAGTAGAAGTGATCATGAGTATTGTTTATAGTATTTATGGATGATCCGATAAGACAATGCATGCAAAGAACAGAACCATTTTTTGTTGGATACAGGAAGTTGCGGTGTGTTGGGAGTCTACAAGAAAATTTGAACACTTGGAACACAGTACTTGAAGATAATGGTATGAAACTAAATAAACTTAAAAATAAAATTATAACTGTGTCAAATGAAAAACTCAATATGCACGTAAGAATAGATAATGTAAAATTACAACAGGTGCACTCCTTTAAATATCTGGGAGCTATATTGGAACCTAACGGCAGAAATGAAATAGAAATTTCTTAAACGGTTAGGAGTGTATAATACAATATATAGACCTATATTGACATATGGATGCGAATCCTGTGTTCTATCGCAACAACAAAAAAGTAAACTTCAGGCAGTTGAAATGAAATACTTGAGACGAGTTAAAGGGGTAACCAAAATGGACAAAATAGGAAACGAGACTATAAGAACGGAGTTAGAGACAGAATCTATACTAGAACACATAGAAATGAAGCAGCTGAGATGGTGGGGACATATGCAAGGAATGAGTGACAACATACCGGTGAAACAAGTTTGGGAGAGTAAGGTGATAGGAAAAAGGAGAAGGGACAGGCCACAAAGAACATGGGAGAATACCACAGAACATACATATATTGATGAAAAGAGGAACGGATTGGAGAGAAGCTAAGAAACTTGCTTTAAGCAAAAAAATGGACTACATTCATGTACAAATAATAGTAGGTTTTGTAATGTTTTGTTTAACCCTACACCCTTTGGGGTAAATGGGATTTTGATTATACAGGGTGTTTCAGTTTATTGTTGCATAACTTTAAGATTCGATAGAACTTTTAAAATTAATGCATAAAGTCTATATAAACATGGGTCGAAAAATGCGTGGCTTCCGAAATACAGGGTGTTTAAATTTACTTTCTAAAATAGTTTTTTTTAAATATTTCGAACAATATTTGATGTATAACAGTGAAAATTGGTATACAAGGGTTTTTTGGTACGACAAAACGAACCATGGGCATAGTTTTGCTGTAGCCGCTAGAGGGCGCTCTCTACTGTACTGTAGTGTATTAAAATGACCTAAAACTTTTTCTTAGTACAACTTTTTGCCTTCTGAATAAAAAAACTGATTCTTCGCACTTTTCAACATAAAAAAGCTCTCCTGTGAGTTTTCGTTATAGTTAGCCGTTTTTGAGATATTTCGATTTTTTAGGTTCGATGCATTTTTAATTATTTATGGGAAAATAATATTTTTTTTTACATTTTCGATTTGGGCATTACAAGTAATTAAGATGATCGGTTAGATTGTGTTTTTAAACACAGCAATAATTCCTAACTCCAAATAAACACAAAACAACAGAATATTAATTTGTTTAATTTTCCAATATTATTTTTAACAAATTAAATTAATTATTTACAACTAAAATGCTATTGGATAGTTAGGACAAACATACAAAATCTAAAGTAGTTGCTCGAAATGTAAACCCAATTGTTCAATACACAATTCACATCTACGAATGATCGAACGTGGTATAGCATTATTCAAATAAGGGCTTATTCCATCACATGCATTCCTGATTCTGTCTATTATCATATCTCTTGTGGTTACGGGAGTCTGGTACACTTTTTCTTTTAGAAATCCCCACACAAAGAAATCTAATGGATTTAGGTCAGGGGATCGTGAAGGCCAGGCGACTGGTCCTCCACGGCCGATCCATCTTTCTGGAGAATTTTCGTCCAGCCAGTTCCTAAGTATTCGCGAATAATGAGCTGGACAACCATCAAGCTGGAACCAGGCCAATCTTCTTAAATCTAACATCACATCATCCCACATATTTGCATGTTCAGTATTTAAAAATTCCAAGAAGGTCGCAACATTTAACCTTGCAGGCAAAAGGTAGGGTCCATATAGTCGATTACAGCAGATACCAATCCACACGTTCACACTAAATATGTTCATTATGAAAATTTACCACTCCACGTCTAGTGAAGCATGACTCATCGGTCCATAAAACGTTACTTAAAAACTCCCTATTATTATCAGTTCTATCAAGAATCCACTGACAAAATGTGAATCTTCGTTCTCCGTCCTCTGGCTGTAGTCCTTGCACAGGTTGCAAATGGTAAGGACGTCTATGGTCATTTCTAAGAACACGGTGAACATGGCTTGCTGAAATTCCCAAGGCACCAGAAACTCTCCTAACACTTGTGGTCGGATCTCTATCAAACTCACGCAGAATCATACGGGTAAATCTGCGCTGACGAACATTTATGTTTTATGATTTCCAAAACCATTTTCAATTATTTGGCGATGCACTCTTACAAATACTGAGCGAATTGGATGTCGTCTGTTTGGAAATCTTCGTGCGTATTCTCTGGCTGCTTCTGCTGCGTTTCCATTTACAAAGCCATACACAAAATGAATATCCGCTAACTCTTCTAAAAATTATCGAAATACTGACTTTTTAACGTTATTTTATCATAAATAATTAAAAATGCATCGAACCTTAAAAATCGAAATATCTCAAAAACGACTAACTATAACGAAAATTCACAAGAGAGCTTTTTTATCTTGAAAAGTACGAAGAATCAGTTTTTTTATTCAAAAAGCAAAAAATTGCACTAAGAAAAATTTCTCGGTCATTTTAATACACTACAGGTACAGTAGAGAGCGCCCTCTAGTGGCTACAGTAAAACTATGCCCATGGTTCGTTTTGTCGTACCAAAAAACCTTTGTATACCAATTTTCACTGTTATACATCAAATATTGTTCGAAATATTTAAAAAAAAAACTATTTTAGAAAGTAAATTTAAACACCATGTATTTCGAAAGCCACGCATTTTTCGACCCATGTTTATATAGACTTTATGCATTAATTTTAAAAGTTCTATCGAATCTTAAAGTTATGCAACAATAAACTGAAACACCCTGTATAAGCTGAATAGCAGCAGCCGTAGAATAACAGTTTTTGTTAATTTCACATATCGCTAGTGGCCTTTTTCCACATTTCGACAGAAATTGTTAATTTTCTGAAAAAACTTAAATGCATTGGTGTGCTTTTTTATCGCTCGCGAAAACCGCATCTCGATATCTTGCTCTGAACCTGAAATTTAGGCCAAAGAAACCTTTATACGGAATTCCGGGAATTTATATTTTTTTAAAATAATTATTTCTGTTATCTAGTTGTGGCCCTGAAAAAGACCGGTCTAAAAAAGAAGGTTTTTAATGCCACTGTGGATGCTAGAAATGCTGAACAGCACACAATGCATTTCTGTAGTCATGGGTAGACAAAATTGCAGCTTCGATTTCGGCTCTCGGTATGTGACGTATTGCATTACGAATCCGGTTTTCATATCTTCTCTGGTTGTAGGTTGAGTCTGAAATATTGTCCTTTAACCGTCCCCATGAACAAAATCAAAACAAGTTAACGGTGATGCTCAAATAAAAAGTAAATCGTATTTGAGGTATGGGTTTGTCACTGTAAATGAAGCGCTTAAGATTATCGGTCTACACATGTTTTTTTTTAATAAATGGTTCGCTCGACATTTTGACGAATATAAATAAATCCTACCGGCAGACACTCGCTTCAAATTTGACAAACGATGAAACAGTCTGTTACTGATAATTATTCAGAAAATGAAAAATCAGTTTCGTTGTATCGTGGGTTTACATATACTAAGAACAAAGCATATTAATAGTAGGTACTTATTGCCCTATCTAGATGGTCATGATTCTTGGAATCTGTCCCAACCTTCAATCAAGAGATTATTGTGAAGCGGGGAGGAATATGACTGTAAAAAATTTTGGTCGTCTGTTTACAGATAAGTCATCCGTTTGGTACAACATTTTGCAATTTAAACCACCTGTAACATTTCCCCTGAAACCGGTAAGTTATATATAAGTCCAGTTTCAATATAAGAAATCCATGTTCGGACCTACGCTTTCATGTTTGTGCCTTGACTTTCATTAAAGAATTTCACAATATACCTATATTATTATTTATATAAAACCATGCTTCATTTAAAAGTATCAAAAAATGGCAAAATCATTCTGCTCATTTTCTATATGATTGCCAAATTTGTCATAAATCTCATAATCATCAAAAATTTGTCTAAAAAGAGTCAATTTTCACAAAGCCTTGAAACACTTTTTATTTCATAGGGTTTATACGAGGCTCTTAACGATCCCACAAAATCTGTGTACCCAGTAGTTCAGAGAACTTCCTGGCTACTAAAGATACTGATGTACTATGAAGACGAAGTGCTGTTATGCAATATATGTGAAGGCGAAATGTTTGAATAATGTTAATGCCTAATATGTCTAATAAAAAATGTAATTAGTATATATGTCGTTTTTAGATCACAAACATAAAATATTAAATTAATGATTTGTGATTATTTGTGAACCAACCCAAGTGTTTAATTAGTAATATATACCCTCAGCAGTTTCACTGTGGTTTCCTTATTCTATGATAGAATTTCTTCTGGATAGTATTTTCAGCTAGGTACTGCAAGGTGCACAGTCAGTGGCATTTGCAAAAAAACAATTCGTCATATTTGGAATATTGATATTGAAACATAATGTCACAACACCGACCCGTTAACTATGTACGACGGGGTATCCAAAAAAACGGAACTATTCTTTAAAAGCTATTTATTTCCAACTTTTTCACAAAATAACCTTATCTCCTTCAAAATACTCTCCACTACAACTAACACCCTTGTCCCACCGGTGCTTCTACTGCTCGAAACATTTTTTGAAATCTTCCTTAGAAATGTCTGACAGCTCCTCACTAGTTTTTTTTTTGTCAAAGCGGCGTCCTTTCATGCCCCTTTTCAACCGTGAAAAATTCGCACGGAGCCAGATCAGGCGAATAAGGTGCATGAGGAAGCGGATCCATGCCTTTCTTAGCGAGAAACTGTCGAACAGAGATGTCTGTGGTCGCAGGTACATTATCGTGGTGGAAGAACCAGTCTCATGACTGCCACAAATCGTTTTTTTTTGCCGCAATCGTCCTAAAACCCCAAGTAGTACAAGCTCTCCATTTTTTTCAGCACTTTCGTCGATCGGGCAGTTGATGGACGTCCAGAGCGGGGTTTGTCGTCAATCGACATGTCGCCATTCTTAAACCACTCGTACACCTGAGTATTTCCCATAGCATCATCTTTGTAAGCTATTTCCAACATCAAAACAGTTTCAGCAGCACTTTTACCAATTAGAAAGCAAAATTTTACAGCTGCACGCTGCTCACTGAAGCTTGCCATCGTAAAAACCGAAACAAACAGCTCTAGCAAAAATAATGACTATAGAGGAACGAAACAAGCAACATTGACAACTCAGGTGGCACTGAACTGGTAATGAGTTGCGCTGTACGCCTCTAGGGGCAGAAATCACGATACACATGCACTGAAGAAAGGATGTTGCGCATGTGGGCGTTTGTGATGTCACCTTGAGAGTTGGCGGCTTGGCTTGTATTATGGTTAATACTATATAGTGCGATTTGTTGGTGATTTTTGGTGGTTCTGTGACTTGTTGTATTAGTTATACATACTTTATGTACCCTGTGTGGTTATTCAATTGATAAAAATGTGGTGTGCTGTTGTGGGATGTAACACCCACAACCAATCTAAACGAAATCTTTGCAGACATAAAGTTCTACAGTTTTCCTCAAGATCTTAGCAAAAATGGCTACATCTTACAAAAAGATAAGACAAAGTCAATGTAAAAAGCGCTAGGGTTTGCTAGAAAATGCTCTAGAGGATCTGAAACAGCGCTTTAGCGTCCAATACCTGTTAACAAGACGTCTTAATCAAGATGTGATAGAAAACTTTTTCGGAGTAATTAGGGCAAAGGATGGTCTTCATGGCCATATAAGTCCTCTAGAGTTTAAGTATAGAATAAGGTCATATATGTTGTGGCGAAACGAAGAGTAAATATTGCAGCGTAGAGTCAGAGGATGCTCCAGATATTCCACTAACCACTAACCGCATCATTAACGAGAATAAACTGAATGCACCTAAGTATCAGCTGACTATACTGAGCAATTTTCAGTGGAAGAAATAGATGAGCTCGAGTATGACGGGCTGGAAAATTTGGCCGGCTTTGTTTGCAATAAATTGCAGGATGAGAGGCTGAAAAGTTACTCAAATGAAACTTATTCATGGATAGACCATCTTAGTGAGGGTTGATTTTCAAAACCTTCCACAACTTCCATGAATCAAATTGAAAAGCTGGACAAGGTGTTTACTACATTCAATGGAGATGGAATAGTGACAGAAAATCAACATTTTATGGGTGAACTCCTATTAAAGAGCAGCAACATTGACTGCCCTGAAAAAGCTAAAAAACTATTTTTCAGGTCAAGGATGTTATTTTGGATCAAAGAACTGAATAAATGTTTGAAAGACCAGAAAAATCGTAAAAGGAAATGGCGAAAATTGTTGCTTCGACTAAGTCATTTCCATTTATTGCTATATCGCCAGCTAACTTCAAAAGCAAGATAACCCCATTTTTCTACTTTTCGAGTTGATCACATTTTCACACTTGCATGTACTTAAGATTTTCTGTGATAAGGATAAATGTAGTGCAGTATTTTAACATCTTGAGCATGTTAATCCTGCTTCACAGAACATACTAAAGTATAGGTAATCTAGAAAAATGGAGTTATAACTGTTTTTACAGGATTTTGGAAGTAGCAAGTCGTATAAGCTATAGCTTATGAAATAAGAATTACAAGATTGAAATCTTTCACTAAAATAAACCATTTTTTTGTATAAAATTTCAATGTAGCCAGTATCACTCGCACGACTAAGACGAATCCAACGACACTTCATATGTGAATATCCGTCCAGCCGTTTAGCCTGAATATGTAAATACGTACGTTATCCGTATCAACCCGAATGAGAATCACTCTCAGCGTGACGTCATGCGCGCCGGCAAACGAAAATCGAACAGCGGAGCATCCGGCACTGGGCAGAAATGTGTAGATGCTACACAACCTCCGCCCACTGCAATGCTATTCCGGCTATTATTTGGTACCTCCTCGTACTATGCTTTAGTATATCCACATATTAGTAGCACAGTGTTATGGGAACAAGCAACTATTATAAACAGAGCTTTCTTGCTGCATAGTTATTCGGTTGATCTTCAACATTAGCCGAAGATACTCATGTGAAGAAACTCTTGAAAGGAACAATCTGCTTACAGTAACAGCCCTATGTGTATGTTACGTATTGCAATGTGCTCTTTTTGCATTTACGCTTAGAAACAAATCTACGCAAAATAATGAAGTAAACATCCATTACCGCACAAGGAATGCATAGAATTTACGTGTCCCATATCATAGCACATCTCTATTTGAAAAATTATTCAGACTCGAATCTAAGCATTGGGATCTGAGAAGCGATAAGGGACCCAAAATCTGTTAAAAGGAAAAAAGTTGTGGGTTTGCATAATCCAGAAAGACACTTAAAAAATTAAAGTAAATATCGGGATATAGCCGAAGATAGAAAAAACGAAGTTGTTTGCATTTGTCCTGACATTATTTGAGATGGGATTCACATTACCACTTTTCTATTTTACAAAAAGGGGTATTAAAATTTTTATATGGCGTTTTCAATAGTCAACACTAGCTTTTCTTCCAAAGGTGTATAAGCACACTTGAAAGTTATCCTGTGATTTTCATGGTAATTTTTGAATTACTATTGACCTACGATGACGTTTGGGTCATCTCGGTAGCCTTTTTCAAGTATATGCGAGGTATGAAAGTTAAGTGATCAGATTGGCAACGGAGCATTCGATCTGAAAACACTGGAGGGGCCGGGCCTGGAGGCGAGACAGGGAACATGTGGTCTGCCTTCAGTACAAGTTTGAACTCCTTCGAGTCATTTGGTTGTCCGCGGCGTTTTTTTATGAAACAGTTTTTTTTATTGTGTTCTAAAAACTTCAAGTAAGGGTATGCTATACGGTTTTTCTTCAGACGTGGGCACAGTGCAACGAAGATAGGTTTTTCGGTAGTTTAAGTCATTTTCAGAATTGAGAGAGTCGATTGAAGATGAATCATGAAGCGGAAGGTCTTCATCTTCAAGAACCGATAAAAATATCGACAGAATCTGGGATCTTGTGCATTCAGATAGTCAGTTGACAGTGAGCATGATCGGGGAAGAGTTATATTAGAATCAGACCACCGTTCAAGAACAACTGGCTATTGCATCACGATAATGCTCCTTGTCACACAGCAATGTCAGTAAAGTAGTTTTTGGCCAGTAGAAACATTCCTGTGTCTCCTCAGCCTCCTTATCCGCCTGACTTTGTTCTCCCCCAAGTTGAAAAATCACTTTAAGGAAACTCATTTTGGGACAGTCGAAAACAGTATCGTAGTTTCAGCACTGCTATGAGGAGTAGAAGAACCGCCTCCAGTCATGTGTCGCTTCAGAAGGAAGTTATTATGACGGCGAAAATATAAAAAAACAGTCTCATCACTTACTTTACGGACCTCTTAAGTCACAGGAACTATTAAGCCGATTATGTTGAAATTTGCACGATAAAAAATTTACTTAGCCGTAACGTTGAACTAGAACGGAGGATTAACAATCTAGGGCCAAACTTTTTTTTTTATCAAAACCAGCATCTTTTAAGCTGAATATTGTGATGTTTGACTGCGTATGGAAAAAAACCAGTGAATGGTGCCTATCAAATAACAAAATAGATTGAATGCGAATCGTATATCTGTAGCAGTATCAGTGATCTTTTAAGGGTTATTAACCTGGGTTTATCAACACTGCACAAGATGATGCTTCAGACTGAACTCGAGATATTTGAGAACTCAAAATTCAATGGTCAGCTTCGGTTTTTTATTATTCTCTTGCGTTTTATTAATTGCAAGGCCCTGTTAAGTTATGCTAAATTTATTACTTTGTTGAGAAAAAAAAGGAAATGATACATGATACAAGTAAAAGAAAAAGCAATGTTATTGTCCGCATTTAGTTGTATCACTATTTTATAATCATTTCATTCTATCAGCTGATGTTTTTTTATACTTCCATTTCCACGAAGGCCTGAGGCCTAAACACCCATGGGGTACCGTGGCCTTGCCTCCGAAATCCGCTGGGTGGTACCTCTACGTTCGACAGTCAGAGACCGTCTACCACCTACGGACAATCACAACATCCATAGCCAAGAGAAATTGGATTCGAACACAGCGCACGGCGACTGATCAGGAGACCGAAGAGTCTACTACTGCGGCCACCGCTGCTGCCACAACATGAGTCATGCGTTAAAGGGAAACGCATTTAGTATGCAAATATAGAGAAACAAAGCATTCAAGACTCAATATTGTCAGCAAAATTGTATTCACGTT